AACTCATGAGGAAGTGGCTTTTAGATTCTCAGTGATGTGGAGGGGGAGAGGATTCACCAGAGACAGAGCGGGGAGTAGAACAGGCAGATCGATGAAGTACACTGCTGAGGGGAGCAGCGGGGGGGGGCCAGGAGATGTCTGCCACGCCATGTGGTCACCTCCGGGGCAGGCGGGAATCGAACTCATGAGGAAGTGGCTTTTAGATTCTCAGTGCGGTGCTTCAACCCGCTGTGCCACCAGGGAGGGCCCAGATAAGACATCTTTTTAAAGAATTTATATCTTTTACATTATTGTGTAGTGTCCGTAAAATTCCCACCACCAGTTCATCAGAGAACCATCACCGTAGCCCCTTGTACACTTCTCAAACTGCAGTGGGAGAAGAACTAGCAGATTGGTAAAAAGATACTCTCTTTCCTTTCCTCCTCTAGATATTTTATCCCTTTCAATTTATTTTGGCACAAATGTTGAAAATATGAGCAACTGCTCTATACTAGGCATTGTGCTAGCAATGGGAATGATTAATATTTCACTTACAATATATTTTAACAGCTCTCTGAGATTTAACACACACAGCACACAATTTAGCCATTTAATACATTTAGCATACATTTAGTATATCTATGGACATACAATATTCAGCTGATTTTGACTCATTTTGAAAAAACCAATTGGTTCTATTCCTAGACCTGCTTCTTCTGTTGATACTAGTCTATTTGTTCCTACCATTAAATACTACCTGCTGTGAGCTAAGTATAGTGCTTAGTTGCTTGACAAATATTATCTCATTGTATTTTCCCTGTAACCCTGAAACTAAGTTCTATTCCTACCTAATATAAATGAGAATAGTATCTAAGTGCTCCGTATTTATCAGTAACAAGTATTATCTCAATTAATATATATTAGAAACTTCTCTAGAATCTGTTTTCTTTTTGTTTAAATTTTGCCTCATGCCTCTTTCTCTAGTTCTTGAAATTTGCTAGGCTTCTTTGTCATAGGAGTAATTAAGATTTTCAAGCTTTTGATGAGAATCAAAAAGGCTAAATGCTTTATTGACTTCACAATTTTTTTACTGGGAGAGTGAATACCTTGCACAGATAGAAGACTGTAAGACTGAGTACTATTACCAAATAATATTTGCTTTCAGCTCTCTGAGAGATAATTTCAACCCTTCAAAACAAGATTAAAAAAAAAAAGAAAGAAAGAACCAGGCCCTCTCTGGTGGTGCAGTGGGTTAAAGCACTGCACTCAGAAGGTTAAGCCACTTCCACATGAGTTCGATTCCCACCTGCCCCGGAGGTGACCACATGGCGCAGCAGTCCTCTCCTGACCCGCCCGCTGCTCCCCTCAGCAGTGTACTTCGTCGATCTGCCTGTTCTGCTCTCCACTCTGTCTCTGGTGAAGCCTCTCGCGGCCCCTGAGCCTCTGGCCTGTACCCCAGTTCTGTACGAATAAATAAAAGCAAATCTTTAAAAAAAAAAAAAACCAAACATTTTTTTCTACAATCTTTTGACTATTTATTATTTTCAGTTTAAGATTTGTTTTTCTTCCTTGCAGATGGATCTTATTAGTTAGCCAACTTCTGTGCTATGAAGTGATTCTTGTGTAAATGTTTCTGTAATAAATTGTGTCCTTTTATGAAAACAAACAAAAAAAATAAGCCATTTTAAAAATGCCACTTGAGAAATACACGTGACTGTGTGCTGAAGCATCAATGGTGAAGAATAGGAAGAAAGTTGCTGTAACTTTGGACAGATGGATAGCTAGAAAATCAAGTTTCTCCCCAAACGCCAGAACACTAAAATATTCAGTCTGGCTAACTCTCTAGCACTGGTTTAGATCATTTGTGTATCTTCTGGTGAACAGTTAACTTTGGATAATGAAATCAGTTTTTCTACTGGTTCTAAACGGAAGAGTAATGCTTTTGTGAATTACATACTTTTTAGGTTGTGGAAGCAACATTGCTTTAAAGAATAATTACACCAATACTAATATTTATTAGTTGAATCTGAACTATCTTAACTGAAGTTTTGAAATGAATAGGCATGTGTAGTGTTGGTTTTAGATTTGTGTTTTTAAACTCTTTATGCCACTTTCTAGTTTTTTTAAAAATAAAGAGTTTGAATTTTCATTTCAGGTTAGTGTCTATGATAACTGCTTCTATAATGTGGCTTAAAAAAAAAAAAAGAGATAGTTATTTGTGCATCTAAGCAGCATGCACTGTCATTCTGAGAGTGGGATTTTTCTCCAACTCTGCAAAGAAACAAATGTTCTAATAGTTTTAATTTATTTCTTTTTTCTAGGAGTCAGAGAATAATAAGTTATGTTCCCTATATTCCTTCCGAAATACCTCTACCTCACCACATAAGCCTGACGAAGGGAGTCGGGACCGCGAAATAATGACCAGTGTTACTTTTGGAACCCCAGAACGCCGCAAAGGGAGCCTTGCCGATGTGGTGGACACACTGAAACAGAAAAAGCTTGAGGAAATGACCCGGACTGAACAAGAGGGTATGTGTGAACTTAACTGTTGGGCTTTATTCTTTTAAAGATTTCAAGCCTTACGAAGAAGAAGGGAAAAAAAAAAGAATGGGATTTCAAAGGCCAGAGAAATGCATAATTGACACTAGCTAGGAAAAAGTTGTTCAGAGGTTACCATGGTGATGGCAGATTGTGATCCATTAGGGGTGTTAAGCACATAGCTCCATTTTAAATAAAACTTTGTGCATTTATTTGGTTCTTATGATAACAAATCAAGGTTTTAAATTGACTGTAAGCCTTGTCCTGGAAAAAAGATAGTATGGGAATTTTTCCTGCTGCACAATTTTAATTTCCCTCCTTATTTCCTTTTGCTAGATAGTATTTTTTTTAATCAACTTCTTGCAACACATATACACACCACAACTCCAAAATGATCTCTTCTAATTTTTTTTAAAGATTAATTTATTTATGCATATAGAACTAGGGTGCAGGACAGAGGTGCAGGGGTAGTGAGAGAATTCTCCAGAGAGAGTGGGGAGCAGAATTGACAGATCAATGAAGTACACTGCTGAAGGGAGCAGTGGGCAGGTCAGGAAAGGTCTACGGCGCCATGTGGATCACCTCTGGGGTGGGGATCGAACTTGTGCTGAAGTGGCTTTAGCTTCTTAGTGCTGCGCTTTAACCAGCTGCACCACCAGGGAAGGCTCCTCTATTTTGAATTTTATTAATATTATCAATTTATAATATTATTATTATTTTACTTTCAAATACTATAAGTTTGAAAACTGAAGGTTTCTAATGTTGTTAAAACTATGTCAAAAGTGTTTTGATATGAGACATCTACTGCAACATCTCATATCCACTTTCTTTGCTCTCTTCACAAAAGTCCACTCACATTCACTGAATTTCAAAAATACAGAGGTAGCAAAAGACTTTTTAAAGATTTATTTATTTGTACATACAGAACTGGGGTACAGGCCAGAGGCTCAGGGGCGGTGAGAGGCTTCACCAGAGACAGAGTGGAGAGCAGAACAGGCAGATCGACGAAGTACACTGCTGAGGGGAGCAGCGGGCGGGTCAGGAGAGGTCTGCCACGCCATGTGGTCTCCTCCGGGGCAGGCGGGACTTGAACTCATGCGGAAGTGGCTTTAACTTCTCAGTGCAGTGCTTTAACCCGCTGCACCACCAGGGAGGGCCGCAAAAGACTTTTTAATAATATTGTTAAATTAAATAAATCAAGCCTAAGCGATTGCTATCCTAAGTACATTCATAATATATATACTGATTTTAGGTGCATTTCAAATTATTTTTTGTGAATTTGTCGACCATATCAGTAGTTTTATTGGAAGTTTCTAAAATATATTACATGTTTCATTGTCATAATAATCATATTATATAGGAAAACTATAAATACTTTGGATTACTCAGGTCATGATGCAGTAGCTATAAAACTGAATACCCACCTAATAAATTATGTGACCTTGGATAACTTCTTCAATCTTACTAACCAAAAAATTAAAAATTCAATATAATACTAATACCTGATTTGGCAATTCAAACATTTTGAGAGTTAACTACAATAAGTATAAAAATTTCTTATGAATTATAAACTATATCAATTTGAGCTATTGTGTGATGATTATAATAATATAACTTAATTATGTAACAATGATGTAACATAAGATAACTGAGATAATTAGGACTGTTTGGATTTATAGGAAACTTTAAAAATTGGAAATTTTGTGCTTGCTTAATATAGATAATTTTTTGGGGGGGTTTGTGTATCATGGTTTTTATATATTGATACAAGGTCCAGGCTATTACCTTTTGCTTAATTGTGGATAATTCTAATTTAGTCCATCCATTCATCTACACATTTTGAAATTATATTATGACTTTCTATACTATATTTAAGGGATCAATAAATGTGTCTAGTTGAGTTGCTGAAAGGTTCTGGGTAGTAAACATGATCTTTCATGCAGACTCTTCTTGCTGCTCAGAGACTTTATTTTTTCATTCTTTGCTACACTCTAGAATAATTAGTACTGTCAGGTCAATGATTTTTGAATAAGTGAGATTGTTAGACTTTTTAAAAAAAATTTACTTTATTATGCATACAAGACTGGGAGTAGGCCAGAGATACGAGGGTTGAGAGGATTCATCAGAGACAAAATGGGGAGCAGAACAGGCAGACTGACTAAAATACACTGTTGAGGGAAGCAGTGGGAGAGATAGGAGAGGTCTGTTGCACCATATATGGATTAGTTTCTTGGCCAGGTATAGAACTAATGCCACAGTGAATGGTGATAACATAACAGTACCAAGACTTTAACCCCTGCATATTCCATGTATATGGGAGTAATGTAATATATGGAAGAAACAAGATACAAGTTATTCTGACAAACTGAATGTATAAACTTAAAGCTAATTCATCAAGATAAAATTTTATAGAACTATTAATGAGTCCAGAGATTTTGAGCAAAACTCTTGGCTACACTAGTAACTACCAATGAAAATTTAAATAGGAGACATACAAATTAAAAAAAAAAAAAGGACATGTGTTTTAGGCTTCAGTTGGTGCACATTTCCCCCAAAACCAGTGTTGTTATCTCACATCATTACTAGAACAGTATATAGTATTCAAGATATGTTAGTACTACTGAACTACATGTTCAATTGAATGCATCTGAGTTAAGAATTACTATACTTTAAAAGGGACTCAAAAGCATTGGAATATTCTCACAGGAGAATAACTGACATAATAATACACAAAATTATATAATGAGAGCAATGGTTGAAGGAATTACTAGTATCTAATGGTTGTAATATACATGTACATAATAATCTTCTATGGAGGAAATAAATTGCTTTCAGAGATAGACAGCAATATAAATTTTTTTAAAACATTTATTTATTTATTCATACAGAACTGGGGTACAGGCAGAGATGCGGAGGGTGAGAAGATTCATCAGGTACAGAGCGGGGAGCAGAACAGGCAGATCGATGAAGTACAGCAGCGGGCGGGTCAGGAGAGGTCTGCCACGCCATGTGGATCTCCTCCGGGGATCCAACTCATGCGGAAGTGGCTTTAGCTTCTTAGTGCTGTGCTTTAACCCGCTGCGCCACCAGGGAGGGCCAGCAATATAAATTTTAATACAAATACTGTAGGGCTGATTAAGTTATTTCCAGTGCCAACAGTCTGACTATTTATGAGCCATATGCTTGTACAATATTTTATAGTTTGTGGTATATATATATTTTTTATCTCTAATCAAGAACTACATAGTATTGTGGGTTTTTTCCCTATAGATTTTCTTCTCATTTTGCAAGTTGCTGTATTCTTATTCTCCTCCCACCCACCCCCTCAACCCACCAGTGAATCCCCCGTTTGATGGCTTAGTAAAGTTGACAAATCCTTTCTTTATTATTACATGGATCAACCAATTTATTATAAGTTATTAATGTTTCAAATGATGAAACATTTGGCCTTTCTATTTCTTTTAGTCTTCTGATGGCAGATTTTACTGGGACATCAGAAGTGTATTGTCTGGTCTGGCACCGCTGATTATGGTTTTCAGGACTGTAGTGTCAGATCTCCATGGCTCACATCTTCATCTTGGTTTCCCCAGAAGATGAAAGTATATAGTTAGCAAATTGGCTGATAATACGTTTTTATCACCTGTTTTGCAGAGAGAGGCTCCATAATAGGTTCTATAATTATTGACCATCTTGACCTTCTTAGTGGCATTGGCCATGTCACCTCCAACTAGGTCCAGTCCCCAACAGATCTGTTCTTACTTTAAATGAATAAAGTGAAATCTGGAATTTAGAGAAAGCAGGATAAAATCTTAAGTAATTTTAAGATTTCTTGCATGTGGTAGAAAGTACTATTTTACAATATAGTGCTTTCAACAATATAATGGAGTACCTAAAAGTAACATGTTATATAACAATATAATGGTAGACTTAGAATTTTGAAGCACCTATACACCTAAAAGAAATTTTGAGATATTTTTTTTTTTTTTAAAGATTTATTTATTTGTGCATACAGAACTGGGGTACAGGCCAGAGGCTCAGGGGTGGTGAGAGGCTTCACCGGAGACAGAGTGGGGAGCAGAACAGGCAGATCGACGAAGTACACTGCTGAGGGGAGCAGCGGGCGGGTCAGGAGAGGTCTGCCACGCCATGTGGTCACCTCCGGGGCAGGCGGGAATCGAACTCATGCGGAAGCGGCTTTTAGATTCTCAGTGCTGTGCTTTAACCCGCTGCGCCACCAGGGAGGGCCCAAAGAAATTTTGAGATATTTTTAAACAAGTATTATATATGTAAAAATATATTGTGATTCCATTTGGTTACAGTGGTCATAGATACTATTATATTTTATGCTTACTGCCTGTATCCATAATTTAAGGAAATGTAAAATTTCAATTAGTGGTTAGTGAAGAACATTTTCTTTGCAAGATCACAATCAACCCTGAGTACTATAAATGGACTCTTGGGGTTCATAAACCCGAGGTTATAACCTCTATACTTCATGATATGGGGTACCCATAATGAATAAGACAGATTCTAACTTTAAGGAGTTTATATTCTACTAAGTGGTATAAGACATGTACAAAATGAACTCTAATTCAATATCTAATATATAAGTTCCATAAAAGTCTTGCAGATAAAAGTGTTATAGGACCATACAAAATGGACTGTGTCTGCCTAGGAAGCCATGGAAAGGTTCTATAGGGAAATGGGTCTTAACTGGTCTTGTAGAATGAAGGATTTATATCTGCAGAAATGGAAGGAAAGGATATTTCAGGTGGAAGGAAGGTATATTTCAGTCAGTGAACTGTAAAACAATCAACAGTTTAAGTTCTAATTTAAAGATGCATATGGAATATAGGGCTGAAAAACTAGGTTCTGTTCAGATCACAGAGATCCTTATATCTTTATAAGGAGTTTGAACTTTATTTTGAAGGTTGTGAAGGAACCATTGACTTTTTTTTTAGCACAATAAAGTGATGGATTAGAGTTTTCCT